TTACCAATATTCGAATATCGACTGTAGTATTATAATACAATACCTATTATAATACAATACCTATACCTATTATAATACAATACCTATTATAGAATAGAGGTAGAAGCTTAATAATTATCTCAATCTTAATAATCTAATAAGAAAGGACGGTTTCGTTTAAGTATCTATAAATTTAGCCAGATACAGATCTGAAAATAAATTTATTGGATCGTCAAAATAATTTCAAGCATGATGAGAGAAATGCTATAAAAAGTAAGTTTTAGCACTCTATAGTAACTAGTTTAAGCGTTCTACATAATTATTTTGATGATCCAACAAAATTATATTCGGATATATAGATAAATTTTTAGATACTTCAAAATCGTTCTTTTCCTGAAGGATTTGATTTGTTTTGAAGGAGGAAAAGAACTATCATCCTTTGATTCGTTTTCAGGCAACGCGTCGGTGTTGCTACAGTCGGACGAATGCAACACCGGCCGGCATCCTCTGTTGGCGAACAATCTGCAGGATGGTGGTGCTGACAGCGATACAAATAGTCACTGCGCGCTAATACTCGAGGAGACGACACCTACCTCGACGAACAACCACAATTGCGCGGCCGGCGGCGGCCGTGAGAAAAGCAACGGTAACAACAACTACGAGATGCGTGAGTTTAACCGCAGGCTGTTGCTGTCGAACGGTACCAGCCCGGGTACAGGCGTGACCGTAACGAGCGGTCAGAATAGGCGCACCTGACTATGGAGATGGTGGCGAAGCACCCAGAATCGTTTCCTGTACAGGAGCAATCGGCGACGCGCCGACATACCGCTATACAAGTAAAAGTACGACAAACTCTTTGTCATACGTTTCAGTTTCTTTTTTAAGAAAATAACACATACATCTAGCGAGCTACTGGCTGGCGCGAGTCCAACGGACGGTGTGGATGTACCTAAGGAAACGTCGCCGCCGCCGCCGTCATCATCGATGTCGTCGTATCGACGAAATCGGTGAAAGTGAAGAAGGTTGACAATTGCTGCGTAGCTCGTCTTCTATAGTCATCCCTACTTCTCACCCTCGAGGTCTCATCGCCGATAGTGCGCACAAACGTAACACCGAGGGAAGACTGCGGCGACGGATGACGTTGACGGCACATGAGAGACCAAGCATTCATGAATCGATATCACGGTGGGACTTTACAATTATTAATGAAAGAACCAAATCAAAACATATATAATAGTGCGAGAGAGAGAGAGAGAGAGAGAGAGAGAGAGAGAGAGAGAGAGAGAGAGCTATCTTCATTTTTGTAAGGTAAAATTCATGAAGGAGCATTTAAATTCGCCAAGATCACGACGCGAGAGTAAAACTCCCCCGATCATCTTGCGCGATTCGGGGGTGAAAAAAAAAAAGAAGAGAGCGCAATCCGAGGCTGGAACGTCGTTGCCCTATGATTCCTTAAAACGAGCGACGAGCAACTCACCCCGCGTGAAAGACACAGTTCGAAGAAACCATTCTATTTACGGCCCGTACTCTCGTAGTCGTATGCTAATTTCGTCATCGTCGACGTCGAACTATAGAGGATAGGTGCACGCTAATTTTAAATGGCCACTAGAAACAACTTTCTTTAGTCTCCTGACTTACGGAATAAATCCGCCGCTTTTCCACGCGAGCTTCCGCTGTGTTTGTGCGCGCGCGTCCCTAGCCGCGGTGGCTACATCCTCGGGTTGTTCATTAACTGCCCCGGGCTCTCCTCGCAAGTATACACCTTGCATATACATGCCTTACTGTCCTCGCATAATCAGTGTGCATAACTACTTGTGCAAATTTTATTTTTAGTCGTGAAACTTTCTTGTGTTACCCATATCCGAATAAAGCCGTCATCGATCGTGTCATCAGTGTACCCGGTCATATCGTCCGTCGTGCCGTTTCTCATTCGAAGATAAACTCCACGCCGGTAGTATGTCACAGTCGAATGTAACTATCGTCACCTAAATAAATGACACACGTAGCTCTTGTTCCCGTTGAATCTCCGCGTAGAATTGTTTCTAGACCGACGATTCTGTTGAGTTAATTAAAGACTCTGAGCTAGTAATCAGATATACTTCGTGGATCGTGTTTCTGTCTGGCAAAATATTATCTTGACGGTGCATCTCCTTTCTATCTATGTCGCAAAGATATCTCTCTCAAAAATCCCGTAGATATTCATTTTATCTTTTGAATCCACATATCATGGATATTATTATATCACTGTTAAAACAACAGAAAAAGCAGCAAATTTAGTTGACCGACGTTAAACGATTTTTTTCTATCACAACTATTTGAAGAATAGTTATGATTCAAAACTTGTTAACAACTTCTACGACTTTTGTTCGACTTGAGGAAATTATATCTTTGCGACTTCATGACGTTTGATTCTCTTAATAATGCAAACAACTTGTATTTGTTCAGACCAGTGAACTATGCTTCACAGTGCTGTCTAATCAGCTATCGTATTTCGCGACTACATTCATTAAATTCTGTAATGATTCTTAAGAGATAATTACGATAGTTACGGGAAAATATTGTGAGATACTACTGCCAAATTGATGATCCTCTTATCCTTCTCTGAGAAGATGAATGTACGTTTAGACAAACTATTCTGGAGCGATCAGAATTTGCTTAGTTTCTTCCTTAATAACATTAATAATATAACAGAAAACGAAAGAACGAGGAAATGAGAGGGAAAGAGAGATTTCCGATATAGGCGATGATTAAATAATTTCTAATCGCTGTTACATAAACATCTAAAAGATACGCGTCACGCAAGTAGCTTGTACCGATACGTTCCTTGTAATTACACCATCATTATTGAACTAAGATAAGTATGGACCGGAGATATTTCATTCTCAATGTTTCAAACTATTTTCCCCTTTTTCTTTTCGCACGCCTCGTATGCCACTCCGGTGTCCCAATAATTGAGATCCGTCTTATAAGCGACAAAGACGTAGCGTAACACTCGAAATAATTGGCTTCCTAGCTAGGATTAAAGGAATCTTAGGGTTATACATTTAATGAGGATGCAATGATAACGGATACAAATACTATTGTAGGCTGTATATACCGGCATAGATAATAAGTGTCGATCGTCTGCTTAAGGAGAAACCGAGATATTATCTGTTAATTGTTCGAACGCACGTCTCCGCCGATGTCACAAAATGGGACGCTTTACGTTAATCCTATCTGTCGCAGTTGAATTTACGTGTTTCGAAATCTGGCGTTTTACATGTCCAAGTATAATTACGCTAGTCTGGAAAACAGGGTAATTATTAATCTCAAACGGTTGCCTGATCATCTTTGGGCCACTATTAGCGAAGTAGAACATTTGTGCGTGCCGCCAAGTAAGATAATTGACTCCTTTCATTTTCTCTAGGTAAAAAGAGATTCTTTTGCCGACCACGTGCATTCAATCATTCTTTCTTAATCAGACTATCGAATTGTTGTTGAATGTAATAATAATGTGAAAGCTTACACCTCGCAGACACACAGCCTCTGCCACTAAATGTATATAAAGATGTTATATACAGAAGATAGAGAGATATTAATCGTTTTTTAATTAATTAGGCGAAAGAAAATACATTCGGAAAGAAAGAAAAAAAAACCAATACGAAACTTATATATCAACTTTGGAGAAACGAGATACTTGAATTTACTTCGGTTGTTGTATCAATGTACCATCTATTAGAAAAAAACAGAGCGAAAGATTTTAGGCGTTTATATTTTATTCGGTCGATATTTCCTGATGTTATAACGTACAACCACATTGCAAGAAAAATTTCAAAGTTCAAACGAGCATAGCGATTTATAATGAGATGGAGATTGGTATTTAAATATAATATATACAAATTGAAGTGGAAGACGTGCGGGGAGCTTTGAATAGTGCCTGCTTAAAATCCGATTTATTATATATCTCAAACAATTAGGTATGGTTGAACAATTAGTCGTTTGCGACATTGCACGTTGGATCTAAATCCGATAGATCGAGCAAGAGGAAGCAGTCTACAAAAATGCGATTTATTTTTTATCAAGCTAAGAAAGAAGTAGATAAGAGTTTATACAGCCTGCGTTATCTTTTTTAATATTAAACAATGTCGCTAAACAGATTTACCTAAATGAATATTCTATCTTATTGAATGTTACTGAAAATATCTAACGATAATCAAGATATGTTCGCACAAATGATATAAAGACCGACTTCTTATTAAATCGTACGGCTTCTTGATCAGTCGATTCGTTTCTACCAGATGTGCGATGTCGCAAATGAGATATTTCATAGAGTGATCGTAGCGCGATATCGAAAGAAAAGTATGCACACTTAAAAGCTTTGACTACCTTAATATTGTATAAAGACGACACACACGCGATGAAGAAAAAAAAAGAGTGTATCCAAAGACTGTTAGTGAAGAAGAGCGAACACGAAATAATTAACACGTAGTAACAAGCTACAATCGAGCTCAATAGCGCGTTTACGTTAATGAACCTCTCATAATATCGTATCGACAAGCTTGCGTCTGTATTTAATTTACGTTACGGGGATACGCCGCCAGTTACAATACGGCCGTATTTCATAGGTTTGCTATTCTATAAAACGTTTGTTAACATACACCATAATCTTCCCCTGTTCTACGCGAGATTTCCCATTATTTGATATTATTAAGTGTACATAAAAAGATAAAAAAAAGTGGTAATTGTATATAAATACTGTTACTGTTCTACAAACTATATTATGTAATATGAATATATAAGAAAAAAAAAATTGGTTATTTAGTATAACTTTGATTGTGAGATTTTTGACTTACTTTTATTTGGGGATCCTTCACTTGCAGGACAGTATCCACTACTGACGCGCCAATAACCACCTGAATGAAACATTAGTTTAAGTATACTTCAAGTAGAGATAGTGGAATGACTTGTTTAACGATATGTCAGTCTTAAATGTTAAAGCATATTGATAAGATAACTTCTCACGTCACGCTTCTTAATATATTTTAAGTTTGTTTTCAAAAATAATTTTACATTTGTTTTAGACTTACCGGTTTTTGTCTTGATATTATTGATGTTAGAGAAGTAGAGCTTATATGGGCTGTCTGAGATTTTTTACAGAGATTCAAGGCGATTTCAGCTGCGACTTTGGCATTGTTTTCTATGAGAGCTATATCTGTAAAATTTTTATATAAACCAAATGTTTTAAACATAACAATTACATTTTATCACATTTTATATCGCAATTAATTTCTATTCACTCACTCGCTTCAAGTGACTGACCACGCGTAATCTCGTTGAGTTCACTTAAAAGGAATGGCGTAACTTGCTTGCCTATTATGCGCATAGCATTAGCTTTCTTTAAAGCCTCAGATATAGCAGCATCCATGACACTAGGCTGCAATGCATATTTTTCAGGAATAGGAACCGCAAATAATATCCCTGTGTTAATACCCAGTACTCTCTGTATCTGCACAATATCGGCTGCTTCCTTGGCATTGGAGATTTTGCACGGTGCTTTTATTTTGTCTGAAGTTTCAGAACAGTGAAAAGCTGGAAATTCTAGCGTTTCGCCTATTTTTATGACCGGTACTCCCTGAGTTTCCTGCGAGCATAAAATCCGTATTTTTATGTCAACTTCTGGAAACAGAAGGGACATTAATAAGTTCTATGAAACGTAGAAATGATTATATATTCATATCTATCAAATCTTCAAGTATATCTACCAAATACTCCAAGGTCTTGCCAATGTCCAGGATAGATTTGACACCAGAGCAGACAACTGCCACCGGCGTGCGTCCAAGTTCAATTAAATCGGCACTGATGTCAAGAGTTAGCTCAACTCCCCTGTGAACACCGCCGATACCACCTGTTGCCATTATTGGAATACCAGCTGCATGCGCAATTAACATTGTGCCACTGACTGTTGTACCACCATTCAATCCTTGTGATAGAATGAAAGAAATGTCCCTTCGTGAACACTTTATGGTCTTTGCACAGTCAGCTTTAGATAAGGTCTCCAGTTGTTCATTGTTCAAGCCTACATGTATCTTGCCATTTATGATTCCTATCGTTGCAGGTACAACACCCTGAAATAAGCAAAAAATGAGTCTACTATTGTTCACAACATTATTGTTCAATCGTGACAGATAACTTTCAAAGTTATCTTTACATTCACAACTCCCAATATATTCAATATTAACTTAGAAAATTTTTTTATTTTTGAAAATACTCAAACAAAATATTCAAACAACTCTTGTTTTATCGATAATCAAAACTTTTCGATTATAGGGAAACTTCTAAATTTCAATTACTTTATATTAACTACTGAATGTTTTCCAGCAACAGACAAATAACATAGTGTAATACAATGATTCATTATTACTTCTCAATGTTTAACAAAGATGAATTGATCATTGTATGTTTCTTGCTGGAAAGCACCAACTGTCTGTTCACCCTAGAAAAAAGAACGTCATTGGATATCATACAAACTTGCTTTCTGATTACGTCTTCGACTTTCAGCGCGGTATCCAAATTATCTGGATACGGCATGCCATGTGTGATGATCGTCGATTCTAATGCCACAATAGGTAGACCGTGTTTTCGAGCCGCCGCGACATCCGGTCCGTAGACAAGCGAATTCTGGCCGGCGATCGATCTCCGATGGATCGGCGACACGTTGAATCTCCTGCATAATTTTCCTAGCAGGTCGCTCAAACGGGATCGATGCATATCGAAATGAACGAACACTTGAACGAATATGCAGAATATTTTTGACACGAGCTTCTCTCAACTTCTAGATAAGACAACGGGATGAAAGTAATCGCGATAATCAAATGTTATTTGAAACGAATTGAGATAAACTGATTAAGTTACAAGTGCCGATACGACGATACTTTATTTCACCGTGTGAATTTTATATGTCGTTGGTATTACTTCATTTTTCTTTCATTTTTATTGTTGTATAATAAGATCGATAAAGATCTTTATCCGATGTTGACTCTGTCTCTCGATTATATGGCCGGCAGTCACGTAGAATTGTTCCCTGTAATTGCACCGTGATATACCTTGAATGCGCTTAAAATGAAATAGGTGTATGATATTGAAGAAAAAAGAGAGAAGATATAAATTTCAAAGATGAAAGATTTGAAATTTTTGTAAATTCGATGTCACGAATGTCCACGTGTAAAATTGTTTATGTTTGACAATCAGAACACGTGCGTGCGCGTCTAGTTCAGGAGTAGAGAATCGGGATTTGTGCGTCGCGAACAGCTGATCACAGCTGATAGTCCGGCGTCTTCGACACGTGCGGAGAATCGAACGTTAGGTTAGAAAATGAACAGCAGTTGAAAGCCGAGAATAGTCTTGATTTTTTAACTTTTTTTCTTTTAACTTTTCTCGACGTTGGAGGAAAAAAAAACAGAAAAGATGAATTATGCAAGAAGTTCAGCTAAAATTGCTAAAAAGAAGAAGCCTATATAATAACGATAATAATTAATGTTTTTCGATTTAATTAACGCAGTGATTACTTGAGCAGAACTACACTTGAGTACCAAACTTCATCCTCTCACTGTTTTCTTCTCCGATTGGCTGATCGATTGACCGCCAAAAGAGAAGAAGTTCAAAATATGTTTTCATTACAAAACGAAACAGCATATTTGCTCCCGGTTAAACAATATTGAATTAATGATTGAAAACGATTTTGAATTTTTTAAATCAATAATGATATACGTAATATCTAGATGCAACGAATATACATATACACAACTTCGAGTAGGCTTGAAATGCGTAATCTAAAAGGAAAAAAAAATCAAAATAATATCAATTTGACGTCACATTGATCGAATTATTAGAAAAAATTGACATAAATTCGGTCAATAATCAGTCAATATCGGTTGACATTATTTTGACTTTCTTGTTCTGCTTGGATCGTATTCAAGTAGAACACAATAAACTTCTGAGAGGCGAAAATTGAAATCAAAGTGTAAAAGAGGCATAAATGCTTCTTTTATATTTCATCGTTCCAATTCTCGCCTTTTAAAAGTTTCGTTTACGCTTCTGTTACTCTCCCATTATATCCAATTTATGCTCCGATTTTTATTTTCATCCGGGTTATTATAGATCTGTTTTTTTATAGCTGCATACTTGTGGAACTTAAAAAGTGAAACAAGTATATATATTTGATATTTTACTAAAATGAGAAAAAAGTTCTAGTGCAGCTATTTAATGCAGCATATAAAAAAACGGATTGTGACGTCAAAATGATTACTAATAGCTTTTTCGACTGTAATTGATGTAGATTGACCCGAGAATGATTAGCCCGAAAGTATCATGACCTCATCTAAATAGAAACCAAATAAGTAGAGCATGCGTATGACGTCATTTATAAGATAATCGATCTCGGATCGATTATTTAAATCCGCTGCAATCGAAAACGCTGTAAAAGACACTTTTCAATCACGATTTATTTTAACGTCATTTTATGATTTGTTTTTCTGCTTGGGTACTATAATTATCTACATATATTCACCTGTATTCATTCACTGTCAGTGTTGAAAATCTATAGTATGCATTTACGTACATACATGCTGTAGATTTTCAGTACTGGTAGTAAATATTGAAACGTAGCCTTCATGAAAGGTCTCTAGTGACGTCAGATGAGATAAATGAGATGATTGAGTTTTTTTTTTGTTGAATTGTAAAATGTTTTTCATCTAAATATAATTTCGATTGATTTAATCGAAAATTATCAAATATAATATTTGTACTATATTTTGTCAACATGGATTGAAATTAATTTTTGTTAAAATTCACAAATGAACAAATCAAAAGCTAATGAGCCGAGTTTGGCTAAATTTATGGAAGAAAAGATTTTATTATGGATAATGAATATATTATACAGAGAGAGTTAGAATCGCGTGGAATTTAATAACACACATCGCAATATTGTTTGCGAAATCGCCTCCTCTTATCTGATCTATTAGAAAAATTTTATCTGACCTATTAGAAAGTTTTTGTTGTTACAAACATTGAAACGAACAACAATGATTGTGATAGAAAAATAATATTTATTTCTCTTGTAGGAATTAATTTAATACTAGCTAATAGAAATTAATTCAATACTGGCCAATTAATCACTTATTTTGAACATACAAAAGTATTGTTACAGTACTTTTTTAATTATTAAAAATTATGACATCACGAATATCGAATGACATTAATCCAATAAATATCGTGCGATACTTGTTACCTCATAATTTTTGATAAATATAAAAAAAATTGGCATATCTAGCAAAAAGAATGTCAGCAATCACACAATTCTTGCAGCCAATGCAAAGATTACAGACACAAATGCTATTGGTAAATGCTACGTAATCTGTAAATATTATGTAATGCCATCAGTAAATATGCTCATCATTTGAGGTATTAATAAATTGTTTAGTAGATATCTTATCCGAACTGTTCGTGCTGATAATTTATTATATATTTGCATATTGCGACAATCCTATTTGTTTGACGTCAATTTTCGGGAAATGGATTTAACGTGTATCGACATGTTCTCCAATATGATTTCGATTCTATCCGTAATTGGAGCAGAGCACGATTGGAGATGATCGATACTTCTCGGAATAGCTTCTTGAAACAATTATGAAAGAATTGCGTTTTTTTTTATCCCCTAAAACTCCTCTCCGGCGTCGTCGTCGAGATTATCGACAATGTTGTGAAAATTCTCTTCGGTCTCGCTGTCGCCAAGATTACAAGTTCATCGAGGGTCAATCCTAGTTGCGTCTGTGTGCGGGAAGCATGATGTTTTCGACTGCATAAGATCAGATTTTTGCGAGAGTCTCAAGAGATTCACATTTTGAGTTCAAGGGTGGAAAAACGCGGTGGGATATGATTTCCAAACGCGACAATATCGTCCATATATATCATATCGATGCCGTCGCACAGCACGTAGTGCGTGATAATCTCATTCCAAAGTGTACGACGAGGATGTCCCCGCACAAGGAGCCGCTTTCCCGTCTACAGGATGACGAAATGTATTCGTTTAGTAGATCGCTAAGAAATCAGGAATTGTCACGCACAAGAGACAAACGCATTTCTTTTAGTGAGAATGAAAAAAGGTACATTATATTTCCTTTCAACTAGTGAATTCCAGTCACGAAGTCTTATTAATCTCTTACGAGAATAATTAAGTTACAAACTTTACAATTTTGCTTAGGATTGATCCACAAGTCTCTAGACGCTTCATTAGAAATATAAATGAATAAACCGACATAAATAGTCACAAAGAAAATATTATAGCAAGAATTATAACAGAGTCTTCATTAGTTTGGTATTTTACGAGAGAGTTCCTGCAATTATTCGAATTTTTAATGTACGCTTTGTCAATTTAATTAATTGTGAGAAAGAAAAAAATCTCAAAACCTTGGCGTAATTGCTTTTACACAAATTGTGCGTTTTATTCCGTCCACGGAGAATAATTACAATGTCGATACAGTAAATTCAGACGTAACAGAAAATAGACTGATTGAACTAAAATAGACAGATTTAAGCTTAAAACCCACTTTAGACGACCTATAATTCGTGTCAGAGTTCAAGATAGAACCCTATTTATAAATTTATACGCCATAAAAAAAATATTTGAAGAATCAGAAATACGTACATACATAAATATAGGACGCGCACATGTGTCAAAATATGCAGAATCTATATGAAGTTATAAATAGAATTATGTCTTGCAATCTAACGCGAATTATAGATCGTCTAAAATGGGATTAAGTATTGTTATATATTTGTAAATTGTCCTCGTAGTGCGATTTAAAATATCTATAACTGTTCACAGTGCGCATCGTAATTTCTATTAATGCGATCGGTGAAAATCAATAGTCCATTGTGCAATTTTTATAGCAACAAGTACTCCAATATCGTACAATATTGGCTGAATTTAGAAAAAGTAACTCTGCAACTGTTGAAGAAACTCTTTAGTATGATTCGTTCTTGTTCTTAGTTCCTCATAAATCTAAATATATAAATTAATCATATTAAAAAATCTTACAATAATTACAAAGCTGCTTTTCTGCTAAAAGCAATCAATATTATAATTTAAATTCTTCGCTCAGTGAGATTATATATTCTCATTACAAAAAAGAAATTAATATTACAGTAACTAGTGCAATTATAAAAAAAAAATTAATATTATCGTAACTAGTGTAATTATTTTCTCTGTATCCAAATAAATCAGAAAAAAATAGAAGAATATCATGTGAACGAATAAAAAATTTTAATGGTAAATAAATTCAGAAAGAATTTGTGTTTAGGGACGAATACGAATTAGATTGTGCTTACGGCAAGAATAACGTCAAGTTGCTGTACGTAAATCGGAATAATGAGCCTTACCATGACATTCGCGAGTACGAGATCGACACTCACTTACGTCTGTACGGCCGGAAGGAGTTTATCGAGGGTGACAATCGCGACATCGTCTCGACGGATAGTCAGAAGAATACGGTGTACCTGCTAGCGAAAAAGCACGGCGTTCAATCGCCCGAAACGTTCGCGCTTCTACTTTGCTCTCACTTCCTCTACACGTACAAACACGTGGCGCAAGTCAGTATCAACGTCGAGGAATACCCGTGGACCAGGTATCATCAGGCTAACAACCGGCCGCATAATCACGCCTTCATTATGAACCCCACTGCGACGAGATTCTGCCAAGTCAGTCAGGTCAGAAATGGTATGGCTCGAGAAAAATGATCCGCTTATTTCGCGTAACTCATTGAGACATTCGGAAAATTAAAAAATAACGATCTATTTTAAATTTCTAAATAAATTCAATTTTTAGATAATTCCTAAATAGATTTATTTTTTAAACGAAATTAATTTTTCATTCGTAGCTAGCGTGATTTCGTTTATATCATCATCATTATTTTTTTTTTATATCGCGAAATGTTAAAGTTACATACATTATGAAAATTTGGTATCTTTAATTTATATGTAAGGATTGTACTTTTTGCCCTTAAATTAAAATATGTATTAACGCAATACTTTTTAATGCAACATATTTCGGCATTTGATTTATTACGAAATCAGAAAATATGCATTTGAACAAGCAGAAGATTAGTCTGCTAGCTTTTCATTCAGGATTTACTCGGTTCTAGGACCGCCAGAAATACGCGGTGGATTAAAGGGGCTGCGAGTGTTGAAAACCACTCAGAGCTCGTTTGTAAACTTCATTCAGGACGAATACGGTACGTTGCAAGATACGCACGATCGTATTTTCAGTACTCTTGTAATGGCAGCGTGGGATTATTCCACCGCCGAGGTAGATTTTGATGGTGCTTGGCATATGGTGAAGGAGTGCATTCTACAGAATTTCGCGGGTCCATCAGATACGGGGATTCACTCGCCCAGTGTGCAGAATACGCTTTATCTCACAGAAAAGTGCATACTTGATAAAGTTAAGCAAGTAAGCATTAACATATTATTATCACAAAGTAATAGTTTACTATCCATTTCATAACGTTTTGCCAAAAAGATCTTAATTTAATTTATTTTAATATTAAATTAATAAGTTATAATTGAAATAAATATTTAAAAAAAAACATTTAATATTATTAAAATATTAAATAATAATAATTACATATTATAATAATAAATTAATATATTTAATTATTTTATTTTATCTATTATGTATGCATTACGCGGAAATAAAATATTTACAGATTAGTAGAATCGAGATGCAAATGCCGAACAAGCATTACATCGATTTGGATTTCAGCTCGTTCACCAAATTAAGAATAGAAGGACAGAACAAGGAAGTTTATCTACCCTTAGATAAGCCATCAGGTATTATTTACGGTCAATTAAGCAGAAAAGATTCCTCGGCCAAATTATAGACATGTATGATTGTTGAGTTATTAATAAAGTTTAAATTTTTTGTAATCAGGCTGGATTGTTCCATCTTTCGATAAACTTCACTGTCTTACTCTCTTACTTTCATAAGAGTAATGCTTTTATTCTTTTGCTCTTTTGTTTATCCAATAAATAAATTATTACCACATAGTTTACTCGAAGCTGGAACAAGTCGTTCTTTAATCTAACTCTCAAATAAATTTCTAAAGGTTACTTTAGACTCTATAACTCGCATCAGATTTCAGAATAAAATTCTATAATTTTTACATATTGTGTAATTTCATATACATATATTTTATATAAACTTTAATTTTATATAAACTCTCTAATTCTCTTAATTTTTTTCTTATTCATGCCACGTAAAACGATGAAACAAATTTTACATCTGGAATTATTTTATTTTATTTTAATTTACTATAAGCTCTGATAATATCATAGGAAGTAAGAAACAAAAAACATTCAAATTGAGCGAACACTTTCTGTTAATGAGGTTGTCATCGGACTTCGAAAAATTTCGCGTAAAAATTTACTTCTAAAATAGATTACAATTCATAAAATATGTTCCCGACTGTGGATCTATACGACGTGCCTCCGACATGGTGGGAAACAGACTGCGTGAAATACGGGTGAGATTGAAGCCTTTTCGTCGATTTTCGCCGAGAATAACCTCTTAATTAATTGACACAGACTCAGTTACCCACCTGTGAGATCGCGATTAACGTCGCTGATGGGAACTAATGTAGTGCGATTGACGGATCGCAGATACATGTTGCAGCTCACGTCGAGACTGCAGGAGGATTACGAAGCGCAGCAAAAGGCTCGCATCGAACGAAGGAAATTGAAGGCTGTCTCGATCGTACCGCAATTGAGTGAATTATTGCCCAGGTCGTTGCTGAAGGCTACTCGGCGACGGCGTGAATGCGGGCCAACATTTCACGCGTATGCGGCTAAAATGTGTAAACAACTTCCACAAATATTATTCACGAATGATTCAGAATTTCATTTCAAATGCTAAATTATAATTCGTATAATAACATTTACATTTATTTTGGCCATTTCAACGAGTAAATCTAAATGTAAGAAGAAATACAGAGTCAAGGAACATTTTAAAATATCTGATATGCGCATAATAAATAACAAGCCTCAAGCATATTCTTTTAATTAGCAGAACTTCTTGTACGATTCATCTTTCTTTTTTCCTTAGAAGAAAAAAAGGGAAAGGATGAATTGTGCAAAAGCATAAAAAGAGCTGTTCAGCTAAAAAGAACCTATTGTTAAATTTATACATTGAGCTAAACACTTAGAAGTTAAGTTTTTAATTAGCTAATCTAAAGCTAATCTAAAACTGAACGATTGAAGATTTGATATGATGTTTGATGATCAATTTTAATCACAATTGTTAGTTTTGAGAAAGAGAAACAGGTGTTTCACGGCGAGACCTTAAGTCGTCACCGTCTCTATCCGTCTCTGCCGTGACTTCTTCAATGGCAGATGAAACACGAGTGGCCGATTGACGGGGACCTGCACCAGTATTCCCTTGGAATTACGATCGATCGTGTCGAGCGAGTCGTCGGTGTCTGTAAAAAGACGCTATTTTTAATCGCGAGATTGCTTGATTCTTTTCTTACGCGTTCCACTCGATGAACAAATAAACGTTCGATTTTTCTTCGTGCAGAATTATTCGTCCTCACCTAAAATCTTCTCGTCCCAAAGGTCATCCCATAGATCCGGCCCGGAAAGATGTTGGAGACCCGACGACATGATTAGCGACGGATCTGGCGCGTATCCGTAATGATAACCCGACCAGCCGAGTGACGTGAGAGCGTCGCTGGAAAATAAAATGCTCGAGTTATGTCCACACGGAAAGGATGATTTTGCTGAAACATCTAAAAATTTATCTAGATGCAGATCTGAAAATAATTATGTTGGTCCATCAAAATAATTTTGTCGGACGACCGATTCTTAGAATGTCAAAACTTTTTGCAGCAATGCTTGAGCTTTCTGCATAATTATTTTGATGATCCAACAAAATTATTTTTAGATCTGTATATTCACCTAAATGTTTATATACTCCAGTAAAATTGTTCTTTCCATGTATATATATATAATTATTTAAATGATCCAACAAAATTATTTTCTATAGATCTAGCTAAATTTTGAGGTACTTTAACAGAATCGTTCTTTCCATACGTTTCTACGAATGTAAATTAACTTTAATTTTAAGATCTGTTTTCTGTAGCTGAACTAGTATACACACTTTTGGAACTTAAAGTTCCA